TCGCCTTCTATGTGATAAAGTTGGAAGCGTTCTCATTACCTTAAATCTCTTAATATTTTTATTTGAGGGCGAGGGAATTACTTGGCGCCTCGCCTCTCATTAATGTACCCTTCCCCTCGGGCTGTGCTTGTCCAACCTCAGCCGTGCCCATCCCTTCCAGGGAGCCGGCCGAGCGGACAGCACACTGTACACGTGATCCTGTGGTCTTGGGTTCTATCCCAGGCGCCGGCGAGAAACATTGGGCAGAGTTTCTTTCACCCTATGCCCCTGTTACCTAGCAGTAAAATGGTACCTGGGTGTTAGTCAGCTGTCACGGGCTGCTTCCTGGGGGTGGAGGCCTGGTCTAGGACCGGGCCGCGGGGACACTAAAGCCCCGAAATCATCTCAAGATAACGTCCCTCGGGCTGTGCTCGTCCAGCCAACAGTGTACCATAAGACACTGTAGTAAATGTTACCGTCCTTGTGGAGCTAAAAACTACATTTTAACAAATCAAAATTAATAATAAAGTATATTATTTGGTGTATAGTTGTAGGAGAGGTTACATTAGGGGCTTTGTTTCTGTTGGCAATTATGTGTAGTGTATTTACAGTACGTGGTCGGAACATTTAGTGGTGCGATTCGAACGAGAGGAAAATTGCGAGAAAAGTTCGAACGTCATAAATTGTCACATGTAAAGTTTTTCATTCACATGTGGGGGTGGGAGGTTGAAGAAAGGATTATGGCGTGTTTAGTAACAATGAGGACGCAACCCGTCCTCTTAAAAATAATGTCACTTTTGGCTCGTATGCGCACTATGGCCAAATTTGGACGTAATTTGAAATGAAATCGACTCACAAAAGTGACGTAATGTTCCGTTTTCTGTTTGAGTCGTCCGGCTTACTCGGCCAGCTTAGAAAAGAATTCTTTCCATTAACGTTAAGACGAGCTGCGTCAGAGAAGCGTTCAAGTCAGTGTAGAAACGTTTCAAAAATGGAAACGTTTTAGTTACGAACGTCCAGAAAATGGTGGTGGTGCGCGCCAGCACACGAGTCGGTTCCAGCGACACAGTGTGCTCGTGGCCTCTTGTTCTGAGCGCAGTGAACTGTGTCGCTGTTGAGACATTTCCGTCCATTCTGAAGGCTGAAGAGCAGTGGCTGGTGCCTCTTGTAGCCTCAACATTCATTAGCCTCAGTTGGGAAATGTTTGAAATAACAGAACTGAAAAATATAGGCCATTAACACTGACAATAAAGCTTTATTCGATGGTACATTGACTGGTGTCGGCCATCTTGAAGCCATACGCAACACAAAGGAGCGTGTTTCATCGTTACTGCTGGCCCGGGAGATTGACACGGACATAACTATCAACTTAATGTGCCGGATATAGACGTGTGTGTGTGTCATGGGCATTATTCAACAGCATACTACACGCACAAGGAAGCACTGGACCGTTGCCAGAGACAACATTACACCGTGTCCCCCTTCCCGGCTCGGTGCCTTCTTTGATAATTACTTACTTACACCGTGTCGCCAGAGACATCATCATTACACCACATATTGAAGTTGGGTCATCGTGACGCACCCAATGATGGAAATTATGATAAAATATTGAAGTAAACTGGAAGCATTTTGGTGATATGAGCCGTCGAGGTAGGTGTGTGTGTGTGTGTGTGTGTGTGTGTGTGTGTGTGTGTGTGTGTGTGTGTGTGTGTGTGTGTGTGTGTGTGTGTGTAGGGGTAAGAGATACACAGGAGCTGTCAGGGGACCGTAGCTAGGGGCCTCTCCCCCATCCCCTCAGGGGCATTGTTTGGGTGTGGCTGCCCCAATTGGCCCTTTAACCTATACTTGAGCAGTAGAGTACCTGTGGAGGCAATACCTCACCATGTAAACTTTCTCTCAGCCAAATGCCGTAGGTGGAGACCGGGGAAGGTGGGCGGGGTTAGCGAAACAGTAATATAATCTGGGAGACAAATCCACAAGGGCCGTGACGAGGATTCGAACCTACGTCCGAGATCATCCCAGACGCTGCCTTAATCCACTGAGCTACGACATGGTATAAGAATTGCAACCAGAAATTCTAATGAATTTACTTGGATCCTGCAGCCTCTCCGAGACACAAACCAGGATTTTACACAACTCCCCCCAGACTTACTGTAAATGTGTAGCTCTTGTAATAGCACTTTCTCTGTAACTAGCTGACATTGTATCTATAAGGTGTGAAGGATTGAAGAAATTGTTTATGTAATAATCTAAGATGAGGTCTGATAAAGACCTTTTGTGCCCTCTGTAATGCTTTTGCGCTACCGCTCACAGGATGAGTATGGGGTGCACAATAAACTAGCCGCCTTCGGCGGCAACAAAAAAACAAAAATCCCCCCATGCACTCGAGCTATGTCAATAGGCCGTTCTACCTCTTCGCCCTTACATCATTACACTTCATTTGATACATCACGCTGTTGTGATTTGTGTGTTCGTAATCTGGGAGACGATTGTTTCTGCGGGGATTTGAATTTGCGTCGCGTACTGTGTGAACCTCTTGTTTACACGTGTAAGCAGAACAGACCTGGTCAGTACACGTATGTACGAAGCGTTGAATAACATTTCCAGTACCAGACGTGACACGGTGCACGGCAGGTGTTCTTGACGGACGCACATGTTGTGTGGGCGGGGGGGGGGGGGGGGGGGGGAATTTCAACAAAGTTAGAGAGTGCTTGAACATGTGACTCAGGAATCCACGCACATGTTTGTCTTGAGTGAGCCTGTATGCAGGTATGTACTCGGAATGAGGGGGAGAAGATATACACATGACACACTTTTCTTATCACTCCCGACTGCATGTTCACACCCCTCCCCCCTCTTAAAACACACACACACACACACACACACACACACACACACACACACACACACACACACACACACACACACACACACACACACACACACACACACAGAGGAAGAGCCCAATAGGCTCAGAAATCTGTACACCTGTTGATTGACGGTTGAGAGGCGGGACCAAAGAGCCAGAGCTCAACCCCCGCAAGCACAACTAGGCGAGTACACAAGCACACGCGCACACAAAAGCACACACACGCACTTGTGTGTGTAACGGACCCGCACGCGCGGTCACGGATGCTTGCAGGGACACGCAAGAGTGCATATCCCCCCCCCTGAGGGAGGGGTGACCATACCTGGTGGACGGTGTCGTGCAGCACCAGCGTGACCATAAGGACGCTGACGTCATGCACCAGTCAAATAACTATGGCAGCAATAAACAGTTAAGGTGTGTTAACCTTCCTGTGACTGAAGACAGGCGTTCGAGAGAGTTCAGACGTGAATAGTGGCGTCTCAAACCCGAGGACCATCCCACCAAACACACACCGAAGCTACGACGTTGGCACAACGTTCGAACAAGTTTTAACACCTCCTAACCAGTTATAACAACCAATATAGCAAGTTGTAACAACGTTCTAATTCGTCATAAACACGTTAAGCCAAGATGTAACAACTTTATTACAAGTTGTAACAAGCGGAAAATAGAGACAGTTACGGTTTGTGTTTCCAGGGGCAGGATCTGCGACGCTACAATGTGCGAGTGAAATAGTTTACTGGATCTAAGAAACGTTGGAACGAATCGAGGAACGTTGTACTGGATATTAAAGCAAGTCCAGAGTGAGTGGTGGAGAATCTTTTAAGATGTGGGAAGCGGTGCGCCCCAAGGAGGTCAAATGGGTCTTCAGAGACGAAAAGCACTTAGTTTCATACCATCATATAAGACCTGGCACTAGCTTCCTGCTTCTCGTATATGTATAAGGGGTCTTGTGGCACAGTAGGCTTCGTCTTTATGACCCGTACGTTAGGAACTAGTAAATAAAATGGACCTCGGGAAAGTGATTTGGTTCCTTGATGTACAACTGGTCGTGCAGTCTAGACAACCCGTCCTCTTATCGTAACCAACGTTGCAAATGCAACCTATTAAGAAAATGCAGACTCGCAAATGTTCACGTTTTCCATAAATTCCTTGTATCGGACTCGAGGCTGAATGATCCTTTCCACGTTTAAACGCGCTGTACGTCTCAGTCTCAGTGATGGTCTTAGAGTAGCAGTGCTTGGCTCCGCCTTAAGCCAACACCTCCCTCCCCTTCGTTGTTTAAGATTCGCTATTGGGAACCAAAAGTTCCAAGTAGCACGGGCTATGGTGAGCCCGTCGTGGACTTTCCTGGCACAGGAGCGGGGCTGTAATTGTGTAACTGTCCTCTTCCCTCCATTTATGTTATATAACTTCTCCATTATATTTCGCAGCCCTCTCTAAACGTTATATTCCTCCCTCACCTCATCCCCTTAGCAATATGTTGCCCCCCGCCCTCCACACAGTAGTAGTAGGCATCCATCAGTCTCAGGAGACTATGGAGTTGCGCTCTGGTTGTCGGTCTGGAGTGGCCTCACCAGGGCGCAAAGCCAGGGTAGGTTGATTCGGGGGAAGAAGCTGTTACCCAAGCAGCAGGGTCCCCTCTCCACGGCGCTGAAAGTATCCACACAGTATTCCCTCCGTATATTATAATCATTCAAGGTTGTATACATTTTAGGTGTCATTTCCTCTCACGTTTGTTTCAAGTATTTATTTAGCAAAAGAAAAGTCCATTGATGGCCTGCCAAAGTTAAATAGATCTTAAAGACGTGACTCAAAATATAATTTGTTTTAAAAGAGTAAATTTTTTGGTGATTATTTATAGATGTTGCCTTAGTGGTTAGTGTTAACTTGACGTAATAAGACAAGACATTGTTGGAGGTGCTGAAGCTTGAGAATAGTGAGTGTCGTAGCTCAGTCGATTAAGGCAGCGTCTGGGATGCTCTCGGACGCAGGTTCGAATTCTCGTCACGGCCCTTATGGATTTATTAAGTGTTCTCCCCTCGGGTGCCGGGCGAGGGGGTCAGTTCCCCCTCATTTTCCCCTTACAATTATTTGTGTACACATTACTAGAACGGTACAGCTCTCCTAGAGCGAGCTGTTCTTACACTAGATTTGTTTTCTTTCCTAGGCAGCAACAATGAGGCCCAGACCTTCCTGTCCCGCGGGGGTCAGGTCATCATCAGGATGCGCGGCCTTCCCTACGACTGCACGCCCAAGCAAGTGGTAAGTACTGCACCACCACCACCTGCTGCAGTCGGGGAGCTGGTGTACGGCTCCAGGGGTGTGCGTGTGTATACGTGTATGTACGTGTGTGTATACGTGTATGTACGTGTGTGTATACGTGTATGTACGTGTGTGTATACGTGTATGTACGTGTGTGTATACGTGTATGTACGTGTGTGTATACGTGTATGTACGTGTATGTACGTGTATGTACGTGTGTGTATACGTGTGTGTATACGTGTGTATACGTGTGTATACGTGTGTTTGTACGTGTGTTTGTACGTGTGTGTGTACACGTGTTTGTACGTGTACGTACAATGTCACTTTGGCCGTTATTGTTAGGTTAAGAGTATACCAACTTGGCCTGACACCATATAGTTCAGTATTGTATTCTCTCCCATAAGTAACAACGTTCTTCCTAACATCTGTGAGGGTTTTCTGTTAACAATTAGGTCTCCACGGCCTACTGATCCAGTATTTGCAACTTGCCGCTTTCTACTTTGTCAATTCCCCTTAAAATCTTGTACGTCGTTATCATGTCTTCTCTCTTCCTTTAATCATGTATATCAAGTTTCCTCGGTCTTCAATCATTTGATAAAATCTCGGGTACTTTTTTTTCGATGTCTAATGAAGGGTTCCATACCAGAGCTGCACACCCAAAAGTAGGTCTCCTGTAGGTTGTGTATGTACAGGTGCAGACGTGTCTTGGGTCTCCTGGTACCTCTGCATAATGTTCCCTTTAGCAGACTAATTAGAATGGACCTCCATAGGTTTAGTGGGTGTGGCATGACACTGTTTGACCTTCGTCAGATTACGAGACTTCTCAGTGTACCGTCTTGTGTCTCACACACCTGGCTGGCTCAGTGTACCGTCTTGGGTCACACACCGGGCTGGCTCAGTGTACCGTCTTGGGCCACACACCGGGCTGGCTCAGTGTACCGTCCGTGGGGCCGCTTCTCACTTACCATTATCATCACATGACATTTGGCCAGGTTGGTGTCCAGCAGCCACATAGGTCATGCTCGAGTCCCCTGCTGTCTTTAGCTACTTTGATTTCATCAATTTTCTCTAAAAGTCAGTGTACTCACCTAATTGTGCTTGCGGGGGTTGAGCTCTGGCTCTTTGGTCCCGCCTCTCAACCGTCAATCAACTGGTGTACAGGTTCCTGAGCCTATTGGGCTCTACACTTGAAACTGTGTATGGAGTCAGCCTCCACCACATTACTGCCTAATGCATTCCATTTGTCAACCACTCTGACACTAAAAAAGTTCTTTCTAATATCTCTGTGGCTCATTTGTGTTGTTGTTGTTGTTGCTGGACAAGTGTAAGCTGACCTCTACGAGGGTGTAACACACTTGTAAGCCTGGTTCTTCCCCCATCTTCTGCTTCTGCGGGTGAGTACGACGGGCTCGCCATAGCCCGTGCTGCTTGTAACAGTTGGTTCAGAGTAGCCGACTCTAAAACTACTACTACTTTCATATCGTTTCTTCATTACTATACGGGTCTGTATCTGGTACCTATTAGATATTTGGTCAATTTGCAATTGCAATTTGGCTACTGTTAAGTTGTAATTATTTGCAATTTACCAGTTGGTGCTTATTTACACGTCCCCCACAACGTGCTGTGGTTGCCATGGCAACATCTGGCCGCCTGTGTGTAGAATTAGACACCGAAAACTCGCAAACACGAAATAAGTGACGTATTTTCGGTCCGTCCTGAACCATTATGAAGTCCATAAGCGTACAGGACGGACCGAAGCGTCGTCAGATGGGTCCAGGACGGACCGAAACCTCGTATTAGGGTGGGTTTGGTGTTCAACTTTCAGACACGTTGACTTTTACTGTGTACACCATGACGGCGTGTTTACCCTGGCTGCACGGGTGTCTTGTCCCCCCCCCCCATGCTCCTTGTGTCCCCCCCCCCCATGCTCCTTGTGTCCCCCCCTCCCCCCACGCTCCTTCTGTCGCCCCCCCCTCCCCCATGCTCCTTGTCCCCCCCTCCCCCCACGCTCCTTGTGTCGCCTCCCCCCACGCTCCTTGTGTCGCCTCCCCCCACGCTCCTTGTGTCGCCTCCCCCCACGCTCCTTGTGTCGCCTCCCCCCACGCTCCTTGTGTCGCCCCCCCCCCACGCTCCTTGTGTCGCCTCCCCCCACGCTCCTTGTGTCGCCCCCCACGCTCCTTGTGTCGCTCCCCCTCCCCCCACGCTCCTTGTGTCGCCCCCCCTCCCCCCACGCTCCTTGTGTCGCCCCCCCCCACGCTCCTTGTGGTGGGGTTGTGCCTGGCCGCCACCTCTTGAATCACAGATTTGACCATTATGATGTAGTCGACTTGTTGTCCATTGTATTGTCCTGCACCACTTTTGTTTGTGTAGCTTCTGCCACAAATGTACAATGTTCATTGTTCCCTATGCGGAGGTTTACTATTGTCCTGCTAGTTAGTTGTTTCCTCTGTCACTGTTGAACTGTCCTTACTGGTGTCCACTTGTTCCGTTATTGTTTTGGCCTTGTCCTCTCTTCCTGTATCATCTCTACCCCCATTTTCCCCTTCATAGGGCGGGAAGACCCAGCAGAAATGCGTGAAGGCTGAGATCACCGGTGGCTATCTTGGTTATCTTGAGATGATTTCGGGGCTTTTTAGTGTCCCCGCGGCCCGGTCCTCGACCAGGCCTCCACCCCGAGGAAGCAGCCCGTGACAGCTGACTAATACCCTGGCACCTATTTTACTGCTAGGTAACAGGGGCATAGGGTGAAAGAAACTCTGCCCAATGTTTCTCGCCGGCGCCTGGGATCGAACCCATGACCACAGGATCACAAGTCTAGCGTGCTGTCCGCTCGGCCGTGGCGGTGGTGGCTGGGGAGATTCGCTACCTGGAACAAAAAGTTTCAAGTAGCACGGGCTATGGTGATCCCGTAGTGGTGGCTGTTGATGGCCGGTGGAGGGAAGGAGAGGCAGGTGAGTGTGGTAATGGATTATCACCATGACACTGGCAGAAGTGTGGGTCCTGGTGACCAACAAGTGCCTCTGCTCTCCTGTGTCGACGTCCCCTCGCCTCACTCCTATCACTCCTCCGAGAATTAAGATAACAGCTCTCTAAGTCAAGTGATGTTAACCATTCTAATTCTGGCTGTTATCGTGATCTGCCGGTTCTAAGAAAGTGCTAGTCTTCTCGTTCATAAGAGTCCTCAAATCAAGCGCTGTAATTTCTGGTCACTCGTACGGGTCCCTCGAGGCTATTGGGGCAAGTAGCACGGGCTATGGTGAGCCCGTAGTGGACTTACCTGGCACAGGAGCGGGGCTGTAACTGCATGCCCGAGAGGCCTTTGTATTGATCTTACGGTGATTGTCATGACTAAACAAGGCTTTTGAGATGGTGTGATTAAGGTAGGTAAGTAATTATGAGGAGAAAGTGCTAAGCCAGTATATGACTATATAGCACTTTGAAAGGGATATGAGGATCAGGATTTGGAATAGGACGGAAGGAAGGAACGGTGTCCATCCATTTGGACTATCAGGAATCGAACGGTGACCTGGACGAAGTGAGGTCGTTGTAGTACCGGCCAGCCAAAGCGGTTGTGTATGATGTGGGATAAATATTTAGTCTAGCTTCCAGTCTTTGGTTTTCCACCTTCGCTCTGTGCCCTTGATTCATCATCACTCATCAATCATCATGATGATGTCGTGGATAGTTAAACTTCTGTCCTTCTATAAACTGTTCACAAGGAAACGGTAATTTTCAGGGGTATTAGAGTAGGAAACATTGTAGGTGGAGTGCCTCAAAGCTGTCCTGAGACCTCCGTTGTTTACAAAGTGTAAATTATTCAGGCTCATGATTGAGCAAAAATATTTGATGACAGGAACGAAAATTAATCTGGAAATAAACTCTCAAGAATCAAAATCACAAAAAGACGATGTAGATAAGGCTTTTGAAATGGTCGAAAGATTGGCAGATGCAGTTTAATGCTGACAAATGCAAGGTTCGTAGGCTAGGTAATGACGACATAGTTACAATGTATCAGCTGGATGGTATTGCAATTGCGAAATAGATCTCGATCGCCGTTGTTTTTAGACTCCAGTTTGCACATGTTTGGAAGCTTCCCTCCAGCCTCACACCTGAGCTTTGGTCATGGAAAGACTTTCCGGTCTTTCTACCGGAAAGTTACGTTACTCTCGGACCGGCACTTACCTGGTTCCTGTTCTCAGTGACGAGCCAGGGGTTGAACACCTGAAGGTGGTGATCGCCCTCCACCTTAATACTCTACATCACTAATGGGAGTCGTGGCTGTCTACACTGTTTCCCATCCACCTTGTGGTGAGGACCATGACCCTCTGTGTCCCCAGAGCGACGTCTTCCGTAAGGTTAGAACTATTTGTGAAGATCTGGTTAGAATCTGGCGTTTCCTTGTCCATCATTGTAGTGGCTATGCAGTGCTCAATGTTCTAACTTCAAGACAACACCTGAAACCCATAACTACCTACCACCCACAGCCACCACCACCTACCACCATCACCACCCACAGCCACCACCACCTACCACCATCACCACCCACAGCCACCACCACCTACCACCATCACCACCCACAGCCACCACCACCTACCACCATCACCACCCACAGCCACCACCACCTACCACCATCACCACCCACAGCCACCACCACCTACCACCATCACCACCCACAGCCACCACCACCTACCACCATCACCACCCACAGCCACCACCACCTACCACCATCACCACCCACAGCCACCACCACCTACCACCATCACCACCCACAGCCACCACCACCTACCACCATCACCACCCACAGCCACCACCACCTACCACCATCACCACCCACAGCCACCACCACCTACCACCACCACCACCCACAGCCACCACCACCTACCACCACCACCACCCACAGCCACCACCACCTACCACCACCAGCAGCAGCTACTCGAAGATGTACTTGTGAAGGACCTTCATGTGATAAAGGTTGCTTGCTTGCTGGTGGCCGTTATCTTGGCGTAATCTTCACCCCCAAGATGACTCTCCACTCTCCACTGGATGACACGCATCACACACTTGTTTTATTGTCCAGTTATGTTCTCAGAGTTTATCTACTCCATTTGATTGAGCTTAAATGTAATTTGAAGCAAAAAAAAATAATTTTATTTTGGGTTACCGAGCAAATATAATATATAATTTGATATTAATCAGTTTGATTGTTCAAGTAATTATCTAAAGATGCGCCAAGCCGGGAAGATTGTGGCGCTTAATGAGTTCTGGTGATGGGTCTACCTGTCAGCTGCAACAACAGTTGAACAGATCAATCAATCAATCAATCAATGAATCAATCAATCACTAGACGAGGCTCCAACAGCCCGCGGGAGGAGTAGACTATATAGATAAACTTCAGGATACTGAAGGCGATGTGTGTTGATGTTGAAAATTCAGCAACTGGGAACAAAAAGTTCCAAGTATCACGGGCTATGGTGAGCCCGTAGTGGTCTTACCTGGCACAGGAGCGGTGCTGTCGCTGATGCTAATTGTTGTTGTTGTTACGTGTCTGTCTTCCCCCTTCCTGTCTTCCCCCTTCCTGTCTCCCCCTCTGTCGCCCCCCCCCCCCACCTCCCGTCTCCTCTGGTATCCTAATCGGTTTCTTTTTCCTCCCTGTTTTACATTTTCGTGATTTTCATTAAAATTTGTTCTGTATAGTTTGTCGCTTCATACATTGTGTGTGTGGTCAACAAGGTCGGTAAGTGTGTGTGTGTGTGTGTGTACTCACCTATATGTGCTTGCAGGATCGAGCATTGACTCTTGGATCCCGCCTTTCTAGCTATCGGTTGTTTACAGCAATGACTCCTGTCCCATTTCCCTATCATACCTAGTTTTAAAAGTATGAATAGTATTTGCTTCCACAACCTGTTCCCCAAGTGCATTCCATTTTTCTACTACTCTCACGCTAAAAGAAAACTTCCTAACATCTCTGTGACTCATCTGAGTTTCCAGTTTCCACCCATGTTCCCTCGTTCTGTTATTATTACGTGTGAACATTTCATCTATTTCCACTTTGTCAATTCCCCTGAGTATTTTATATGTCCCTATCATATCTCCTCTCTCCCTTCTTTTCTCTAGTGTCGTAAGGTTCAGTTCCTTCAGCCGCTCTTCATATCCCATCCCTCGTAACTCTGGGACAAGCCTCGTCGCAAACCTCTGAACCTTCTCCAGTTTCTTTGTGTTTCTTCAGGTGGGGGCTCCATGATGGCGCGGCATACTCTAAGACGGGTCTCACGTAGGCAGTGTAAAGCGCCCTAAAAGCTTCCTCATTTAGGTTTCTGAATGAAGTTCTAATTTTCGCCAGTGTAGAGTACGCTGCTGTCGTTATCCTATTTATATGTGCCTCAGGAGTTAGATTAGGTGTCACATCCACTCCCAGGTCTCTTTCTCGAATCGTTACAGGTAGGCTGTGTGTGTGTGTGTGTGTGTGTGTGTGTGTGTGTGTGTGTGTGTGTGTGTGTGTGTGTGTGTGTGTGTGAAAATAGTGAAGATTTGGAGTGAAATGTGAGTAGTGTGGCGTGCGGCCTTAATCACTCGCCACAAACACTCAAGATGGTGACTCTTTAGAGATAACCTTAGTGGCTGGTACCCCCCCCTTCCCTGGGTGTACCATCATTCTCTTTGCCACTGTTATCCCTTCTTCCACCACCACCCCACTACCACCACAATCAACCACCCCCACTACCACCACCCCACCACCACCCCCACCCCCACCACCACCACCCCCACTACCCACCACCCCCACCACCACCATCCCACCACCACCACCATCCCACCACCACCACCATCCACCACCACCACCATCCCACCACCACCACCATCCCACCACCACCACCATCCCACCACCACCACCATCCCACCACCACCACCATCCCACCACCACCACCAACCCACCACCACCACCAACCCACCACCACCACCATCCCACCACCACCACCATCCCACCACCACCACCATCCCACCACCACCACCATCCCACCACCACCACCATCCCACCACCACCACCACCACCACCATCCCACCACCACCACCACCACCACCATCCCACCACCACCACCACCACCATCCCACCACCACCATCCCACCACCACCACCACCACCATCCCACCACCACCAACAACCCCCACCACAACCACTACAACCCCACTACTACCACCCCACTACCACCATCACCATCACGTTAAGCAAGTCTCACCTTCTCCTGCCTCAGGTGGAGTTCTTCGAGTCCGGGGAGAACGGGTGCCAGATCCTCGACAGCGAGGACGGTGTGCTCTTCGTCCGGAAGCCCGACGGACGGGCCACTGGGGACGCCTTCGTCCTCTTCAGCACCGAGGAGGACAGCACCAAGGCCCTCGGCAAGCACAGGGAAATCATCGGCTCAAGATACATCGAACTCTTTCGTTCCACAACCGCCGAGGTCCAACAGGTGAGGGAACAGGTGTGGATGATTTTGCTTTTTGTTTTGAGGTGTTGGGATGACGATTAGTATTTAGGGGTTACGTTCACATATAATAACTGTCCTTTGCTTTGCTTATGGAGAGTTTTCATCAGTGTTACCGGACTGGTGTTGACGGAAGAGTAACGTCCTTATTGGTGACAAATATATAGAATCACTTTTCATTGCCGTTGGAAACGCTAAAAAGAAGTCAAACCTCTGCTAAACTTGGATTAAGTTGAGGTGCAGTTGATGGTTGAGCGGTGTGCTGTGGAGTCAGAACATCCCCTCACTAACGCTCAACAATTCTTTAATGTAATCGGTTCTCGTTAGACGTCCATACAGCGACTGGTTATATACACACAATGTACTTTAGTTCCGAAATATGTGCAGAACTAAAATGCAACTTTGCTATAAAACTAATATGTTGGCTTGTATTAGATGGCGGCAGTTTGATACGATTTAGGCCAATCACAAAATTAAATTCTTCGTGTATTATTCCCCGGCTGGCCAGTGATAATCATACGTCGAAAGTAAGATCTTTAAGTCGGAGAGTAAGTTAAGTTTTTCTTTCTTAAGATCTTTCAGGCCGGTGCTGACCGCCCCGGCCTGACTTAGTGCAGGTGCTCTCTACACCTGGTAACACATCGCTCTTCCAGCCTTATTGACTTCAAATAATTCGTGATATATTGACTCGTTTTTTCTAGATGAGAAAACAAATGCAAAAGTCAATGATTGTTTTTCAATAAAGAGTAGAAAAAAAAGGTAATGGAACAGCTTACGAGAGCTTGTTGTGTCAGAGACGGATACGACGGTACTGAACCATCTTGTACAGCAAGTGTGTGTCCAGCTTACGTGAACACTTAGACCACCAGGCTTATTACTAGGCTCAAAGAACAAATCCACAAGGACCGTGACGAGGATTCGAACCTACGTCTGAGATTCCCAGACGCTGCCTTAAGCTACGACATGGTCATAGGTCCCCCACCTTAAACAGCCTATTACTAGGCTGTTTAAGACAATGAAACAGTTCCTCTGGAAACGATTCATGCCTGATTATTGTTAAGATAATTCAGAATAATGCGCTATGCCACATGACTATTTTTGTATTTTAGCCAATGACGATTTAAATAAATTAGCTGATTACGGAGAACGGGGGAGGGGGTGTATGGAGGAGGATGGGAATTATCAGCAGAAAGCATCCAAGTCATTACGACTATATAGCACTTGGAAGGGGTCAGAATAAGGGTTTGGGTTGGGACGGTGGGGAAGGAACGATGCCCAACCACTTAGTCGGTCGGGGATTGAACGCCAACTTGCATGAAGCAAGACCGACGCTCTACCGTCCAGCCTGAGTGGTTAGGCTGGTGTTTCTTGGAGCTGTAATCTTTAAAACTCAGTTACGTATGCAGGAAACTGTTGGGTTTGTGTGTTTACATTACCATTAGTAATGGGAAGATCTGCTCCTGGTGGTAATAGCTAAACACGCCTTGAATCCTTGTTGCTGGAAATGCATAATATTGTACGGATTTTCTGGAAGGCTTCATTGTCCTGAGGTTTGTTAGAAAATAACGTTTGTAATTATCCAGACTCCGCCATGGCGGGAAGACTGGGGTTGACGTTGTGGAGTCTTGATTGGCACAGTACATTAACCTGTCGGGAGGGAGGGAGGGAATTTTCAGGGAAAAGCGCCAAGCCATTATAACTATATAGCACTTGGAAGGGGTCAGGATAAGGATTTGGGATGGGATGGGAGGGAAGGAATGGTGCCCAACCAGTTGGACGGTCGGGGATTGAACGCCGATCTGCAACCTGTCGGGTGTTTATGGACGTGACTGTCCATCACATTACCTTGTGTGATGGTAATGACGAGTGTTGCTTAATGTGAGGTACGGTAACAGGTGTCTGATTATGTACGGGACCCTTAACTTAGCATTTTGTTATAACTAACCATGTTGCTTATTTCCATGCTTCTCTGGGAGCAGCTGCAGTGGTAAGTACTCTTCCCCCCCCCCACACACCCTTGTTACCCCTGCACGTCTCTCCTCGCACGTCCTGATCACGTGTTGAGGCAGCACCTCGCACGTCGTGGCCATGTCTCTCCATTCACATTAGCTTACATGTACTAATGGTAGTGTGAACAGTGTCAAACTCGTATGTTGTTAGCATGGTTGTAGACATTATGTACTGAACATGACAGGAGGATGGAGGTCAAAGATTCTAGCATGAATCTTCTTTCTTTTGTTCTTCTGTTAAGGAAGTTGAACATTTTACTCTGACGCTGAGAGATGTCTCGTTAACCCCCGTCAACATTTTCAAAGGCAGAGTAGAAGCGAATACAATTTTTCTTTGTTTGTTTCTAGATTTCTCTGTTTCTTTGTTTCTTTCTTTGTTTCTTTTTCTTTGTTTCTTTTTCTTTCTTTCTTTTTGTCTTTCTCTTTCTCTTTCTTTCTCTTTCTTTCTTTCTCTCTTTCTTTCTTTCTTTTTCTTTCTCTCTTTCTCTTTCTCTCCCAACCACTTGGGCTGGACGGTAGAGCGACGGTCTCACTTCATGCAAGTCGGCGTTCAATCCCCGACCGTCCAAGTGGTTGGGCACCATTCCATTCCCCCGTCCCATCCCAAAACCTTATTCTGACCCCCTTCCCAGTGCTATATAGTCGTAATGGCTTGGCGCTTTCCCCTGATGATTCCCTCCCTTCCCCCCCTCTCTCTTTCTATCTTTCTCTCTCTCACTTTCTCTCTTTTTTCTTTTCGTCCTCCCCCTTCCCATCCAAGAAGCACCGGAATAAATGTATTGGTCTCAGATGCTGTTTTTTTTCTTTCTCTTTTTTCACTTTCTCTCTTTTTCTTTCTCTTTTTTTCACTTTCTTAATATTAATAATAATATACAATTATACACTTGGGTACATGTGCATTTGTGCAGCTGCCCTAGACTACTTGAAGGGGATTACAATGTGTCAAAAAGCTAGCTACGTGATGCTAAAAATCCCCATAACACAGGATGGTTAGTCATACAGAGATACATGTTCAGTAGTCTGCACTGACAGACTCTGGGGTGCATTATGTGAGGATATCTTCAAGAATACGAGAGTGAATAAAGTAATTGCAAAGCTCCAGGTACCTCATGCCAACGGGTCTGAATGGTCTAATAACTGGGCATTTGGTGATGTAGTGCGGGAGATCATGCCGTAGTTCCTGCTCACAGAGTTTGCAACTGGAGTGCTCAGGATTGGGAGATCCGTCACCTGTAGCCACCTGCCACAGGTAACGGTAACCCAACCTGATCCTGGCAACCACTGTGTCGCACAGTCTAGTGGACGTTTTGTGCTGTCCATAGATGTAGGTTTCAGATCTGAACAAATCATAGCTTTTTATACTAGTACTTTCAGGTCGATGGGAGTCAGTAATTTCTTTCCTATCATACCTGAGTGTAATGAGCAATACAGTTTTGACAGCAGAGATGGGGATACCCAGATCTAATTCAAACTGATTTTTTTTTTTTTTTATTAAGATATGAGGTACATCTGCATTAGTGCAGCTACCCTAGACTATATGAAGTGGAGTACAGTGTGTCAAAAAAGCTAACTAGGTGATGTTAAGAAATCCCCATTACACAGGATGGTTAGTCATACAGAGGCATGTGATAAGTGATATTCCTTTTTTTTTTATTATTAACATATTGGTACATCTGCATTAGTGCAGCTACCCTTACCTTTTCGCAAATAACTCTACGTTAGTGACACGCCACATTTCACGCCTGACACCGTGACACGCGTGACACAGGCCGCAGCTGTGCCAGACAGGGTGACAACAAAGAGTACTCGCCTAGTTGTGGCTGCGGGGGTTGAGCTTTGGCTCTTTGGTCCCACCTCTCAACCATCAATCTACTGGTGTACAGATTCCTGAGCTTCTCTAGCTCTATCATAAGGGTAACTACACATAAGGGGCATAACTGGCCGACCCCTCACAGTGTTCAAGAGAACTGGATAAGCACCTCCAAAGGATACCTGATCAACCAGGCTGTGACTCATACGTCAGGCTGCGAGCAGCCGCGTCCAACAGCCTGGTTGATCAGTCCGGCAACCAGGAGGCCTGGTCGACGACCGGGCCGCGGGGACGTTAAGCCCCGGAAGCACCTCAAGGTAACCTCAAGGCAAGGTATCATATATACATTTGAAACGTGTTAAATAATCCATCCTTGTCTACGCTGTCAATTCCCCTGAGAATTTTGTTCAGATGTTACAACTTGTTCCAACGTTGTAGTAACGTCGTGTGTGTGTGGCGGGATGAGAGGTGTGTAGTGTGATAGTGACGACAGGAGTATGGTGACGTGTCATCACAGCCTCGCGGCCCCCTAACACTGTTACCGCCGAGATACTCTGCTGTCTTAACCTCTCCCTCGTAACCTCTCCCTCGTAACCTCTCCCTCGTAACCTCTCCCTCGTAACCTCTCCCTCGTAACCTCTCCCTCGTAACCTCTCCCTCGTAACCTCTCCCCCGTAACCTCTCCCCCGTAACGTAACCTCTCCCCCGTAACCTCTCCCCCGTAACCTCTCCCCCGTAACCTCTCCCCCGTAACCTCTCCCCCGTAACCTCTCCCCCCGTAACCTCTCCCCCCGTAACCTCTCCCCCCGTAACCTCTCCCCCCGTAACCTCTCCCCCCGTAACCTCTCCCCCCGTAACCTCTCCCCCCGTAACCTCTCCCCCCGTAACCTCTCCCCCCGTAACCTCTCCCCCCGTAACCTCTCCCCCCGTAACCTCTCCCCCCGTAACCTCTCCCCCCGTAACCTCTCCCCCCGTAACCTCTCCCCCCGTAACCTCTCCCCCCGTAACCTCTCCCCCCGTAACCTCTCCCCCCGTAACCTCTCCCCCCGTAACCTCTCCCCCCGTAACCTCTCCCCCCGTAACCTCTCCCCCCGTAACCTCTCCCCCCGTAACCTCTCCCCCCGTAACCTCTCCCCCCGTAACCTCTCCCCCCGTAACCTCTCCCCCCGTAACCTCTC